ATCCTGTACAAATGGAATGATTTGCGTATGATAGACATGTTCTCCGATACTTCCTGATGCATCCAAGAGAAAAAGGATATCACTGGCCACTGTTTGACAGTCTGTGTAAATGTAAACGATAGACTTTAATGGTTTTTCCTCCATCAACCTTTCCTTCCATAGGTAATTAGCTAATTAAGTGATTTTACCTTTTTTGGAAGAGGTGGAAATGGGATACAGGTAAAAAGAACAGAATTAGATTACTGGTAAGTTTTGTCAGCTTCTGCCATTTGATGATATTAAAAGAGGAAAATTTTGGAAAATATGCAGAAATATGCATTAAATGGATTATATCAATTATCAAAGTATATATTTTTCAAAATTTCTACAATCATTTTTCTTTAAAAGTATATTTTTTAATCTGTTGAATTACTTAAGTAGTAGAAATGGGATAACTTTTAAATCCTTTTTATTTAAGAGTCCCAATTTATCAAATACCCTATTTGATCATACATCGATTTTTTTCAGTTTGAAATGATGTTCCAGCGCAAATATACACATTTACTGCTACTTGATTTTTAATAAAGTTGATAGGCCTAAATAGTAAGAAATTAGAAACAGCCACTCATCTGCATTTCATTAGAAACTTCACACTTTTTAAAATGATTAGTCAGATATTTATGAAGGTACTTGGAATGCAAATTAAGTCAATTCAACACTCAGAATTGTACTTTTTAAAGGCATATTAATGGTTGCAGCGCACATATATTTGTGGGTTTTTTTTAGTTTATCACTGGACATGCGGGAAATAATAGACACATCTGTGTGATACATTTCTTCTATATTAAGGAGGCCGACTGGGGTTTTAATTGCACAATACTTCGCGCAGCATAGTAAAAATAAAGAGTACTTACTCTTTAAAAGCAACTATTATTACATAATTCATAAAAATTAACAAGTTTAGGAAATCTCAGGTTAAAAAATCTAATGACATTTTTAAATAACTGATTTTTTAAACGCTTTTTCAAATGATGGGTAGATAGACCTCGTAATAGTGTGTTTTTGACGTTATGAATAACCGAAGTTCTTTAAGCGGGGTCATTAATTATGTCATAAAATAAAAAGTATAAAATAGATGCTCTTGAAATTTTAAACAACTGGAAACCAGACGGTAGAATTTTGTGTTTCTTACATAAATGTACAATATAGTATTACCCATCAAATAATATAATTTGAGCAAAATGTCCATAGTAGCAATTGTATAATTTGTTCCGAAGTGCGAAAAAATGGTGTTTTCCTATATATGTACCTATATTTTGAGATGGTCCCCAAAAAATAACCAGTTGGTAGATTTTCACTAAACTTGGCGTGCACACTGGAGTCAATGTAAGGTACATATGGTATAAAATTAGAGAGTTTCTCTATAGTAGTTTTCACACAATAAAACCCCAGTCGGCTCCCTTAAACAGTTCCCTCCAGCGACTTTTTGCAATAAAACATATAGACATATAATCTAACATATTGATAAATTTATGTAAAATCCAGCATACATGAAAAATTATAATATCTAATGCCATCAAATAATTTCATTAAATTGTCTATAATCCAGAAATTGACATAACAAAGAAATAGGAAATAGAATTAGAATTTTATATTTGAAAAAAAAAAATTATATAAACATATATCTTAAATGTGCTTGGACACAGATTTAAAGTTAATATATTCTCCAATTTTCTGTATAATTTCATGACTTATATGTTGCTATAGCATTTCATACTAAAATATAATAAAAATCTTATTACATCTCGAAGTTATTGAAACTTCGAATTTCTGGACGCGTTTGATTGACACATCCTTGCACTTTCATAAATTTTAATTTTATTCTAAATACTTAAGAAAAGTGGCAATTTTGTTGTGTATTAATGAAAAATATTAAAACTATGATCCAGAAAATGCAGAGTAGAAATGTTGGAAAGCAAAACCCACTCACAGTATTGTCAGTCCGTGCTCAGTGGTGTGTGCAGACTTTAACAATTGAACACACCCGGTGAACCGTAAACATTAACAACAACAGAGCTCGTGCCCTGTTTACAAAAACAGTTTACGTTTCACGGGTGTATTCAATTTGTTAAACTCTGAACACAACACTGAGCACGGGCTGACGATATTAGTGAGGGGGTTTGCTTTCGCACATTTCTACTCTGAATTTTCTGGATTATAGATGTAATGTTTTTCATTAATACACAACAAAATCGCTTCTTTTCTTAAATATTAAGGATAAAGATAAAATTTGTGAAAGTGCAAGGATGTGTTAATCAAACGCGTCCAGGAATTCGTAGTTCCAATAATTTCCAGATAAAATAAGTTTTTAATTATATTTTCGTGTAATGCTATTGCAATATATAAGTCGTGATATTATACAGAAAATTTGAGAAAATATTAACTTCAAATCTGTGTCGAAGCACCTTTAATTATTTTTCAAATAACTATATTAACTAATTATTGAATATTATACCATATCATTTAGACTACAAAATACAAATATTCAGTAACTTTGTGATTATCACATTATTCACTTTTAAAAGTTGTTTGATTTCTATTAATTTTTTTGTCTATAAATATTGATGTAAATCTTTTACGGTACCAATTTTGATGTACCAGATAATTCGACAAATTATGTCTCTTCATAAATTCATAAATTTATATTGTTTTCTTTATGTCTCAGATATTTACGATAATCAATTTTATGTGTTTCATTCCTTAGTATACAGGTGGTTAAAAAGGACCATATCCTTATTACCCGCGTTATTTTTTCTGACGTGAAAGTCAACTTCCTGGTTTTATATATGTGAAAATAAGATAAACAGATCGATATAAAATGGAAATGAATATTTTAAAATTATATTTGCAACTTCCCTTAGAAGTTAACTAAAGTAAAACCTTAATATTGAGGAAAAATTGGCAAACTCATGGCTGTGTCTCATTTTCACAAATATTCTGTTGTAACCAAACTTTTTAACACAGATTTATGCGAATAACAATGAATTATTATTAAATCGACTGGAGGTGGAAGTGGTAAAATAGTTAATGAAAACCCTAATGTATCATACATATCATAAATAAAACATATAACATGCAATGATTCTAGAGGCTCATTTTTTGTAAATTTTCCAAAGTTATTGACATGTGGTGTGTTCATTACATGTAGTCTTGTTCAGTTATTTTATAAATTAAGAGTACATCAAGTTGCTTATGTTACATCTTCTAAGTAAGCCTGTGAAATCCCTCCTTAATTTCAGTAAAAAGAAATTGCTTTCAGTGTTTTTGTACATTGTTTTAATTAGATTAATTAGTACTGTACTTACCTCTGCTCTGACATTTATAAACGCTTAGTATTATCACAAGGACAAAGTAACTCAATTTTTCAATCGACATTGTGGTAGCGATCATGGATATCGACTTTTATTATCTTATTTAATCATATCTGCACGTCATGAACCAAAATGGAACGTAGGAAGGTCGTCCTGGATTATTATTACTTAGAGAGTGAAGGTCATCTCAATAATACAAGAGAAAAGTGAAGGATCAAAACAAAAATTTAAAAGTCTTACAATTTAATTAGAGGTTAACCTGAAGATTTTGAAGTCGTTTCCTATTAGAACTTTCATTTAAAAAACAATTCTGTTTCGACTGGAAAAATCACAGGTTTTGTTCCTCTGAAACTTCGGTATTGTTGATACTAAAAGAACAGTTCATACATTATCACAGGTATTATAATATTATTTTTCGAAGCTTATGATGCATTGTATTTACTACAATCTGTACAATAATGCACAAAATGAAAACATGATGTACACAATTTGTTAATTTTTGCTGCCTTTGCAATGGAGTTAAATCAGATAATTGACCATTTATTAAAGCAACACATTTTACTCTGAATTGTCTCAAACTTTTTGCCTAATATTTGTTAACTGTTCCTGAATGTTAAACAGCTGTATTTATATGTATGTAGTTATAGCACATACTTTGTTGAGTTATAATTGAAGCATTACCTATTAATTGTTCCCTAGCAGTGTTAATCGAGGAGTGCATATATATTCAAGAACTCTTTTAATTGTATGTTAATATACTCTAAATGAACTATTGAGATAACCAAAAGTATTCAATCTCAAAGTCCATTTTAACAATACAAATCGAGAGCAGAGCAAACACTGACCTCCAAAAACATCAATGTTGGGATCAGGTGCCATAAAGGAGTGAGCATCCTCTGCTGACCGGTCAAACCCACCGTGTGCTCCTTGTCATGATTGGGAAAACGGGAAAACCCGTAGACAATTCAGTGTGTAGATAATGGCCGAGCAATTAGTGTGAAAAACGTCATTCAGCATTTGACTTAATGATAGATTGTATTTGCTGACAATGTGATTGTATCGACCATAAAACTTGCGAAATGAGAACTCCAAAAGAGACTGTTGATATCCTTGTTTCATGAATGTTTTTGTCAATAGCTTGCCTCCATTTTAGAAATTGTTCATACGTAGAGCATGCTCTTGCGTATCGAATCAACTAGGAGACAAAAACCCAATATGCAGGTGATAAGGGTATATTGCTACATAAGTTACGGAAGTTGACGATTAAAAAATTGAAGTCATTACGTTTATCATAAAGCTGTGTTGTTAGCTTACCAAAAATAATCATAGCATGTAAATACAAGACTGTACAAGAATATAAGAACATCTACATTTTTTTCTGATGCAGACCAGTTTTCTGACAATTCAGTCTTCTTTCATAACATAGTGAACTTACTTTTAAGAATTAATAATTAGAAAATAATTTTACTGAAAGAATTTGAAATTTTCATTTCAAAGTTTTTTTTCCTAATTCTTTTGATCACTTTACCGGTTATTTTTCTTACCATTACCTGACTAGTATTTTTACAGAATACAACAACTTTTTAAAATAATTTTAGGACTCTCAGTTCTTTGGTTGAATGTCTCAAAATGAAAACAAAAAGATCATTAAATTTTTTTTTAAAAAAATTATATCATTTTATTACATAAAATCAACCGGGTCATTACTACTTTCCCAAATTCGAGAGCAACGTATTCGGACAGCTGTGCATGATGAAATAATCGAGGGAAAAGTATATGAAAAAGGAAATAGGAGAGTATATTTTCAAAATAAATCTGAAGTGTTTCTGCACAACTGATTTTTTCTAAAAGTTGCGAATTAAAATTCAAGAATTCAAACCACAATTTTAAAGGAATGACAAAACTGTAATTTATGTCATTTACATCGTCTTTGTAATATAAACATTTATTTCATTTATCTGCATAAACAGAAACTGTTCAGAGCAGGAAAACTACAAATAGTTAACTAATACATAAGCATCAATATTATGTTTAATGTTGATGAAGTTATTGTTTCCCAAGCTAGTGAGAAAAATGAAACGGAAATGAGCTTTTCTGTCATTGTTCAAAATGAATTAAATACTCTATAAGAATTAGAACAAATATAACCGATACTGATTGAGTAATGAAATTCCGATGGAGAATATTTCCCGTCCAGACAAATATTTCAGATCATAGATATTTGTTATTCAGACTTCCGGTTAGATTGTTATCTAGCATATAATGTACTATAAACAAATCAATTTAAAACAATTAAATACAAAAAAATTCATACTAAATGAACAATAATGAAACCTTTCATTCACTTCAATATAATGATTACAACATAAACAATATTATAGATAAGTATCTGTATTTGTATTAAAATTAAATTATTTATGTTAAAAGCAAACAAAATCGACAGAATACTGAACAGGTCTTCAAGAAACAATAAACATTTCATTTAATTAGCATACTACAGTATAGACGTGACATAATGTTCAATCGTCAACGTATTAATTTTATGTTATCAGTCTTCTTTAGTTTTTTTTTTATTTACAGAAGTGATCCATCAGAAAGTTGTAAACATTTAACATCCAAATTTTATTGTTATATTCTCACACTACTATACAGATTTCATCATTGTCATTAACTTTAACTAGACTCCATGATTATAAACTGAGAACAGACTTCAAAAGTCAAAATTTCAAATCAATATATTTTTTTAAATAATTAGGATAATGAACAAAATTTTCAACTTGAGTATGAACTTGTGAATTACACAAACATGCAAATTTTCATGCACATTAGTTCACTTATATGTCTCTGTTTTAACTGTAGATATTCAAAATCAAAATTTTGACTTAAGTCTGTTCTCAGTTTATGGTCTCGAGACTAGACTTGATTCTTTTTATCTTATTCTGACAAATATCTGTATTCAAGCGAATTTTCAATCTTTATTTGTAAATAGTATTCATGTATTTCAAAAACCAGAGACATTTTCATCAAACTTGATAATTAACTAAAAGAGGGTTTTCAAGACAATAAACATTTAAAGTATTAATGTTAGGGTTGAAAATTTTAGCAGACGATCAGAGCCTTATTTAAATAAATGTTGCCTAGCAGCAAAAAACCATTTAAATCCCCAAGACTAAAGCTATTAACAAAAGTGTATGAACTTTTAATTTTTTGAAGATCATGTTATAAAGAACAGGAAATTACTTGGGGAAACTAGTAAAAGTGCATGTATAAAGATTATGACTATTCATTCTTAACACAAGATGTCCTCTAGACAATTCTTGATGGCTGTTCTCGGTTCATGGCGGGGTAGATATCTGTATATGGAGGGGGAATCCCAGGAGGATAGTATGATTGTGGTATCTCCTCATTTTTCACAATTGATGCCCTGTCCTAAAAATTTAAGAATGCCTAAAATTATGAAAACTTTTAAATCGGAAAATATTTTTTTGAAAAAAAAAAGCTCATCGTTTTTTAAAGCATGCTTGAATATTATCAAAGGAAAAAAAACAAATTATGGTGGATTTTTAATATAAATTTTGTTAAAAAATAATTATTTCATCAAAAGTTTAGATTGAGCACTCACATTATCTTTAATCTGTCTTGTATTTGATACACGGCGAATCTGGCCACTTCCTGGGATTGACTGAATATATATTTTTCGCTGGTGTTCTCTTCTGTTAGAGCGAATTGCACAGATGCACATCCAAAGCAAAATCTTGAAAATGAGGACTGCAATTCCAATTCCACTGCAGAACAGAATTCATTGGTCTTATTATATTGAAAGCACTGTCCAACTTACTACCAAGATATTTATTAAGAATGGTAAAAAAGAAAATGAATTCTTTTAAAGTCACGGAATATCAACATAAGTTTACTTACTAAATGTAGCTCTCCATTCCAGTATTCTTATCCTCCTCAACAAAATTTTACCTTGTTGGCTTAATTGTAATGTAAACGAAAACTCTAAAACGAAATAGGAGGGGGGTAAATTCAAATGACTTTTTGTAATTGCAATTTAGAAAATATCAATGTTATCTATAGAATGTTTTATCGTTATACTTACATTGCAGGATATGTCCTTCTCTCTAAAACAGTATAGCCACAATGAATAAAACCAGGAAGTGTTGCATGCATGAATGACCTTTAATGCTGATGATCTCCATTTCAAGCTTAACACTGGTTTTCCCTAGTTGTTTTTTTTAATGAAATGTGATGCCATGACCCAGTATTTAAAATATTGAATTATTTTTTTTAAAAAAGTCAACTAAAACTAGTGTTATATGAGTCGAAACCCTGGCTCAAAAATTGAGCATTGCCTTATTTTCACGAAATATTTTCTTTTTTTATTTTTGTTAAGCAGAAAATACTTAACATTCTGGATAAATAGAAAGAGGACAAACAGGAAGAAAACTAGCTACGATTGATACGATCTCCCTTCTTTTACTATTTCAGTAACAATTATTTGGAAGAAATGGATGTCGTTTGCTTGTATGTGCATTTTTTCAATTAAGCTCACACTATCAAATAAATACAATCGTACAAGAACATATGAGCTGAAAAAAATTACTTTTAGTGTACACATTTTGTTGATGAAAATCTCAAAAAGAATTGCATGAGGTATTTAACAAAACACAAATATTCTATCTCATGTTATAAATCAAATTCTTCGATAGTTCCTACTTGTGTGGGGTAAATAAAATTTGTTATAACTTTCTTCACTTTGAATAATATATCCGCCAAAAAGCCTTAGCATTAAAAGCGTAATGGCCAAAACAGAGATTTTGAACCTTTTCGCTATACTCAAGGGGAGGATATCATAACAAATTTTAAATGGATCGTTTGAGGAAAATGTATCTATCAGTTGTTAAAATTTCGAAGCTTTGTCTTTATTCTGTCTAATTTCATAGATCCTCATAGGTAGAGGGGTTCTATAAAAGCATTTTTCAGTTTTCCATACCCTTTAAACTTTAGTTGGTAACGTTCCACTAAATAATCTTTAAAAAAAAGAAACTTCAAAAGAGGGTAAGAAAAGAATAGGATAGATAGTTTAAAAGCAAGAAAAGGAGATACTAGGACCGATCTTGATACTCATTTTATAGCACCTTAAACATACCTTTTTTTATTATTGATTTAGTGGTTTACAATTTATTGCTGATTTTTTCCTTACGACCCATTCACATGATTATTCGTCAAAATTAAATTCACGGCCGACGAAAGGATATCAGATAGTTAAAAAAAACTTAGGTAAAGGCGTTTGAAATTTGGAAATGTTTACAGGAAACAAAATGCATGTAGTTTCAATATGAGTGATTCATCGATTACCCAGTGGTAATATTTCATATTGCTGTAATATCTGCAAATGTTAGGAGGGTTGAAAGTTTATTCTAATTCAAACTTTAGAGTCTTAAGCGATGCCAATTGTGTTGGGTTTTTAAAATATTTTCAAATAAGAAAACTATGAATCGGCAAGTTATCTTGAAAATAAACATCGAAAAGTCATATTTGCTAAGATCAAGCAAAGAAGTCCTTGTTACACTAATACACTCAATTTTGAATAAAATCGAATCTAATCTACTGATAAAATTTTAATCGATAAGACCTTTATTTAGGAAAAATTTCTAGAAAAAGGCAGATAAAAAGAAAATAGTGAAATCACAAATTTTCGTGGGGTTTAATTTTCGTGGATTTCGTGGTATGAAGAGACACACGAATTCATGTCCCACACGAAATAAAATGTAAAAATTTGTGACAACTAAACATTTCTTCAAAGACGAAATTAAATCCTTACGAACCATTAGTTTTTCTCAAATCACGAATTTTGATACCATGAGAATATGTGATTTTACAGTAATGAAACATAATAGAAAAAAGTAGGTACACAAAACTTTTACATACCCATTTTATGTTACTGAATATGTGAATGATATTGTTGTTTTAAACATTAATGGGGCTTAGACACAGATTTGATGTTTATATTTTCTCAAATTTTCTGTATAATATCACGAGTTATATGTTGCTATAGCATTTCACACGGATATATAATAAATAAAACTTATTTTATCAGGAAATTGTTGAAATTACAAATTTGAACACCCCGTGAAACGTAGACATTAACAATAACAAAGCTCGTGTCCTATTTACGAAAACAGTTTACGTTTCACGGGTGTGTTCAATTTAATTATCAAACTCAGCACGGACTGACAATACTGGTGAGTTGGTTTTTCTTTCTCACATTTCTACTCTGAATTTTCTGGATTATAGTTTTTAACATTTTTCATTAATACTAAACGAAATTTCTATTTTTATTCAGTATTGAAGATAAAGTCTACTTTGTGAAAGTGTAAGGATGTGTCAATCAAACGCGTCCCGAAATTCGTAGTCTCAATAATTTCTAGATAAGATAAGATTTATTTCCGTGTGAAATGTTATAGCAACATATGTCATGATATGTATAATATACAGAAAATATTAACTTCAAATCTGTGTCTAAGCCCATTTAAATAGCTTTTTTTAATTCATAAGTATTTTAACTGAAAGGAGTTGAATAAAAGAGAGCCATGACGATTTGTTTGAATACCATGAATTTACTATAGCACAGTAAGTTACTCTTTTTTTCATTCTTTTACAAATTATCTTATAGTTATTAGTACTTATTTAGAAGGATTCCATACTTGCTAACCATTTAAAAACTGTAACTCAGCGGTTTTCTTTGATTGTAACTCATGGATTTACTCTTTTTTCCTTTTCTTAATTTCTAAATGTCCTATTTCAAGTGTGAATAAATTAATTTGATTCATACTGTATCTATTATCTTTAAATATTTGAAGACAGATATTTCTATTTGACATGATAATTTTTATCTTATTCTGACACATACCAATATTTTTATATATTTTATATATCGTAATTTAGTTCCATGAGATTAAAATTATTGATCATTTTCGAAAACCAGATAAATGGATTGAAAAATACTGGGTTTAAGTATGTTAAACAAAACAAAAAGATATTCTGGTTAACGCTTGTAAAATAGCTTTTAAGTTATAGGGGACTTAAAACTCAACCTTATTAACGAAATTTGTGACATTCACTCTAGGTGGATAGAGTAGGACTATAATTACGGTAAAAAGTTTGATCATAGAATTGTGTAAGAAAAAAAATCTTAACATACTATACATTCCTCACAATAAATTAAAAACTACATGTAGGCTTTTTGATATCATAAACAACTGCTTTTTTTTTTAAAAAAAAAATGAAACTCAAAAAAATGTTTTGTCATTTGTCAGTAAAAAAAAACCAATTTGTTAAAAATCACTGATTCTTCATTCAAGCTCTGTGAAGTTGATATTAAAAGAATGTTGAAGTTCTTCATTGACAACATCTCTGGTGTCAATTCATATTAAACAGAATTTATTCAAAAACTTCTATATGCGAAGAAGGATACACTTGCTGGTGCTTTAACTCCACATTCAGACATGCTTACACTTTACGTTCAGAATCTAATTTTGACCTTCGCCTTCCAAAACACAGAACTAATTTGTTTAAAAATTCCCTCCAGTATTCTGGTGTTCATATTTGGAACAGTTTGCATTTAGATTTAAGATGTGCACCAACTCTGTCAGCCTTTAAACGAAATGTAGAAAAATATATCTTCAACAATAGAATTTCGTTACTCTGATTTATATCTTTTGTATATGTATATTATGTCAAATCTTACAAATTTATATTAATTTATTTGTCATCATCATAATATTATTATTATTATTATTATTATTGTCATCTCCCTCGGGAGATGACACATTAAGTTCGTTTTCCGGAAGTGAAGTCCTAGTGTAAGCTGCCATTGCATCGATAAGCTGGTGGTCTGGCAAATGACCTGACGATGACACGATTTCTAAATATAGAGATGTAAACAAAATTGAGCGTTCTGCCTTATTATTACAAAATGGTCCATCTTAAAGTAAAACTACACAGGGTTCATTAGGATAATAGAGGTTAGACTGCTGGGGTGGTGGTCTTCAAAATACACATAAACATTGTATCTAGGTTATTGCGTAAAAAGTTTTCCTATTTCCCTTGGACCATCAAAGAATGGAATGATAGTCTCGGCGAATACACCTGACACCTTTAGGTCTCAGGTGATCATCTTCTAACCATAAGTAAGAAATATTATTAATATTAACCTTTCAAAGTTTTAATTTTTGGTCATATCATGCGCACCAAATTTGCCATAATAATCAGCTTGTTGATTGTGGGCAATACTTGGCAGAAGCAGAAACGATGGTCAGCGCGCGGGGATCAAAATACACAAAACGTGGCATATTGAATGTATAAGCCAAGGCGTGGATCCAAGATTTACTGACGAAAGAAAACAGTGAAAACATTCACGTTAAATGCGTATATGTAATGGCAAAAACTTAACTTTTATATGTACTTACTGCCGTATATGAAAAATAAAACAGATCTTATTCAAAAAAATAAATTTCGAAGAAAAGAAATTTTACCTAAAAGCACAATTTAAGCAGAAACATAAATTAATGTCTCTGATTTAAGTAGCTCAGTGCTGCAGGCATTGGAATAAAAATAGTAAAGAATCATTATGAGTATTTTCTCGGATGTCTTCACTATTCTTTTTTTCTTTAAAATTACTCCTGCGGAAAAGTTTTAGGAAAAAACAATTTTCTTGACCTGGCTCAGGTTTTTTAAGGATTAATAAATAAAGCAACTTATCAATTTAATTCTTTATGCAATTCTAATTTGCAGTTTTTTGTTAATGGAAAAAAGTTAAAAAAAAAAAAAAAAAATCACTCCTCGTATTCTTGAAATAAAGCCAAAATTATAAAATGTGTGTCTCGTGACACAGCGTATAAAATCGATGTTGGTAGATTGAGGTTCTTTTCAGTGTGCCAATACTTAATTTTAAATGGTAACTTTTCAATTTTATAACCTTTCTATGCATGCTATTTTCCCACAAGCGTATACGTGTACATGTACTTATATTATATAAACATAATATAGCGTTAACACATGAATCTGCATATTGGCAGCAGAAGGATATGATGCAGGAGTGTCTCAATGTTTTCCTTGATATTCCCAGTGGTTCGATAGCCAAGT